AGATGCTATACATGAAGTCTTGATTCGATCTCAACTCATTCTGCATAAATAGACGCTGATGTTTTTGAATAAAGAAAATGTACTATACATGAACCTATGTGTGTTCATGCGCTTTGAACCCCCCTTTCATGAGGCCCCTTGGTAAGTCGCGACCCCGATAAGTCATGGTTTTTGCTCGGATCCCCATACCCACGACTTAGCGAGGGATCACTGTACATGTATATAGATTTGGAACAGCATTTGTTAAAACAAAAGGCTGCCAGTCGGCCATTTTGAGTCCAGTCTGAAAAACAAAATGATGTACAGTTTGAAAACAAATTTGTCTGTCTATACATGACAGAAATCCAGTTCCAGAATGGTAGAAATGCTTGATTAATTTTGAGGAATTTTTAGCACAAAAATGGCCACCATTCAGCCATGTTGAACATGTTTATATATCCCAAGATGAATGAAGTATATGTAAAGTTTGAATGGTTCAGACATGTCAGAGATACAGGTGAAGACACATGCATGAGCGCTCACACAGACACACAAATGTCCGAACATAAGCCTTGTTTTTGGACTTTGTCTGTACTGGAGACTAATAATTTAGGTATAAGATGACAAAAGTAAAATGTAAAGATGGTAGTTTATGGTCATATATCCATGGTCATTATGTGATAAATGTAGTATGTCAACAGATTCATAGGGGTGAGGCATTGATAGACTGTGGCCCTTTAATTTATTTGTTTTTGTTTTCAAAAATGTATTTTTTCTTATTTCTTACATTAGTATTTGATATGTTTAGTACAGAACTAGTGAACAATTTACCCAACTTTTAACAGCCACAGGAAAGTAAATTTCTTGCACTTACATGACATTGTGTATTCATGAATTTCAATACAGAAATCAAAGATATTTGCTATCAAGGAGGTGATAAGTATAGTCATTTACTTATTTACTTTATAACACCTAACACCTACCAAATCAAAGCACTCCTCGCCTGGTTAAGGAAAATGTTTTTTTTTTGTTTTTTTTCCCCTTGTCCACTGCGACCCAGGAAGAGATATATCAGAGTGCTGATTTATTCAGATAAAATTTATAGTCTACAGTGATACAATATAATAATGTCTAATAACTAGTTATCAAGTCTGTGGTGCTTTTGATCAATGCTGAGATTTAGATCAATGAATATCATATACGTAACGGAACACCAGCATAATTTAGACGTCGGCATTCGTGCACTCAATCATACTCAATAATTTACTCTTCAATAATTTTAATGGCTTATATGTATCATCATGATTATAATGCTCTTCAATGATTTGTTTTGTCTAGTCACCATATGTACTATAATAATATACAATGGTTGAAATGATCTGTGTGATGCAGTCATATTTCAATAACATATATTTCGTAAGAAAGTCATAATATCATAATATCGTTTTACAGTGAAAACTACCAAGATTTTGTCATTGAGACTGTTCTGGATGTTTTAAGATGAAGATTTGATATACAACAACAGAATCGCAGGCATGCTAGTTTGAATATTTGGAGAATAAAAACATTGATCGCAAAATGTATATGTAGCATGTTTGTACAGACAAAACTCAATCGGATAAAATGCTGTTCTCTTTGAGTTTAGATAAATTGTAAATGCTTTGGCTACACATTTCACTAGGCAATTAGGAGGTACCATGCACTTTCATGACGACATGATTTGAAGATGAAACTTGAGAGAATTGTTAAACCATTCCAATAAACATTTTCTGTTTTGTATACTGGTAAATTTGTGTTATTTGCTACATGAAAACAGTGTAAAGTAAAGTTAAAATGTACAAAATACTGGAAAACTTGCCTTCATCTTACAACTGAAAGCCCTTTCAAAACAAGTGAGGTGATCCTACTACTTTTCCTCAACTTTTTTAAGTACTCCCCATGGTAGGATACTAGTAACTTTTCGGTTCAAGGCGTACCAACTTTAATAGCTACAATTTAACCAACATGCAAAAGTCTTTTCTCAAAGTGTTACACAATTTATAAACAGTTGTTGGCCAGCGTTTGTATTCTTTTTTTTGTTCTAAATGTAATTTATAGAATGTCTCTATAAACTGTGCACTGAAAGTAGACCTAACAAAGAGTAGCACGTTCATTGCATTATCTACAGCAAGGCATCGCCCAGATCTCTGGTTTTATACATTGTTGCCCAGCTTTCAAACATTGCACGGAGCCACACGGACGTCCATCCAAACTTTTAATTCTGAATGTCTGCTCTTCCTGTGCTGTATTTATACATAAATGTAGAAATAATGAAAATACGTCTAGACTGTAGAATGATAAAAGTCTGCCAGTAACAATATTTTGAAACAAAGTAGGTAATCAGTTGTTCTGCTCTCTCCCAGAGCAATTTCCAAGATAAAATCTTGATGGTAAATTTGTTATTGCATGTACCGGAGGGTATCGTCAGGCTAGTGGATTTTACAACACAAATTATCGGAATATATGAAAACTGTTTTATTGTGTGTTTTTGTTTTGGATGTACACAAACCCCCATTGAAGTTGCACCACAAATATAATATAACACCTTGAATAATAAACAGTATTAATGGTGGACAGGTTATATGCATACAAGTTTGACAATATTATTGAATATAGACATTGATCAGATAGTACTCCAAACATGGAGCATATGTACTCTTTTTAAATAGGGTGTGGGGGGTGGAGGCAATGATAATCGTACCCTTGTTGCCGAAAGCATTGAGATGAAAGGCAAAAATTTAATGAGTACAGTGTCCAAAGTGAAGGAGTACCGGTAGATTATACAATCACTATTTCATTGAATTTTGCTTATTTCGCTGACTGGAAAATGCGCTAAATTAAAACCCAGTGAATATGTGAAATTTAGCATAGGACACATTATCTAATTGATAAAAGTCACTGAATATGCCTGAAATGCTAAATCAACGAAATTTAAACCTATTGAAAATTTGTCATTTTACAGCATTGTTGCAACTTTTGTGGAAAAATTACAACAGTCATTTGAAGAACACAGCAACAATGTATTATTTGATGATGACAAGAGGGGAAACCAGAAAAACAAATTAAGAACATACAGGC